ATATCGGCAACCCCAGTTGTGTTCCTCTGCGGCCAGATTATACCTTGTTGTAACCTATATATTATGCTCTATTCATTATTTATTAGAAACCTTGCACTTTTCTACTCCGTTTTAAATGGTGTTCTTGAATTCAAATTAAGCGCGGTCCACTGCTGCACACGTGCCACAATATCGATACAGGGACAGCTGTATCGATACTCGTATCGTCAAATCGCTGTGATGATACATCGTCGTATCGAACACAGCACTAGTATGTAGTGGATATATGAGCAGGCCATGGCACCCCAGTCTTGTTACACTTGTGGTGTTCCCACTCAAAAATGACCAGCCTACAAAAAATTGCTTATGGAAATTTCTTGTTATTCCAAATACCAAATATTGGTATTTATATTGGTAGTTTTCTTTCACACAGTTTTGTATTTCTTTTTGGAACTGATTGATCATAGGCTACACTGATCTGAGCTTATGGACTTCAGTTTTTGAGTGAACATCGTCGAAGTTATACACAAATTATGTTTTTTCTTCACTCAAAAACATGCATAAGCTTGGGTCAGGCTTAGATTTGGTGACAATATAGAATAACTAGAGCAATTTTTATACATTTTTGACCAGAAACATCAAATTAGGTAAAGGATTTTCAGTGCAAGTAAAGTATGTTAAGTAAAGTTAGTTAGTACAATATGTTAAGTAAAGTTAGTATTTTTAGTAAGTAAAGTTAGTACAGTATTTTAAGTAATTTTGCTTGTATAAAATGTTTTGAAACTGCAAATGCATACATATCAAAATATCATACTGAATTTAATTGAAAAGCTGAAAATTATAAATTTAAGCTATATCACCTGCCACTATTAGCAAGTTATTGGTTGTGTTTCTCAAGTTTTGCTCACGACTGTAAGTCATTTTGTCAACTGTTGCACAGTTATCTCTCGTGATTCTTGCACAAATGTAGTTTTGAGAGCCGACAGTGACACTATGTTCTGGATTTTTTGCAGTGGTAGGACAGAGGTGCAGTCTGTACAGTACGGAAAGGAAAGAGGCAACAAGAACAGAGTTTTTGCAAGGTAACACATTTTTAATAACCAATAAGCGGGGGAATTCTGTGCAAGCAATATGCGTTATGTAACAATTTGGAAGTAAAAAGTTATCCGGTAGTAATACTTAACCATTGTGCTTATTTGTTCACAGCAGTGTTATTTTAGTATCTTTGAGAATTTTTATTAGTATTTTTAATTAGTTTTTATTTTACATTTTAAATTCAATTAGTTTTATTTTTTTAATTAATTAATTTTTATTTTTTTAAATGTCTACACAGTTTTCCATATGTAAGCTTTTACTTTTTAGTATTTAGTTTTTCAGTATATCAAGTTAAAATAAATTAAAAGTAGAAATGTTTCCTGGGCAACTGGATGATTTTTTTTTAAATATTTGTTTTTTTATGAGTTTTTTACATTTTATTTTGTCTCTGTTAATGGTTTATTTGATAAATATATATTTTTATATTTCTATGGTTTTGGTTCTAGTTAACTATAAAAGCCCTGGTTCACCACACTATAGACAGTGATGTGGATATTTATCGTGGTTATATCTGCTATATTTAGCAGTATGTGCCGATGTATGCGTGTACGTGTCTGGGTGTGTTGCATTATGGAAAGGCTCGCACCTATCTCGATCCCTGTGGTGTTAGGTGTCAGTGTGTATGTGTGGTCAGATGTTCTCAGAACGACACCCAAACACAGGAAGTGTAAGCAGGGCTGTGTAGCGCACGGCTGTGAAGGGCGTGCACATGTCGTGCACATGTTTGTGAAAACACACTCAGACGTTTGCTTCGAAGATGCTGAGGCTGAAAGTTAAACTACGGTTTATGGTTCATCATACTTCTAGGAGGTATTTCTTTTCGACTACGCCGACCTTTTCTCTGTGAAGGGTGCGATAATTGTGTAAAGTTTGACACATTGTTTTTGAGGAATATGTTTGTGGTTTTTAAGGGCAACGTGTACGAACATCACAACAGGAAAGAGTAAACTAGTTTTGGTGTATTGCTTGCTACTTTTTTCTGATATTTTCATTGGAAAAATATGTTACTTTTTACATTTTACGTTCATGGTGGTTTATGTAAATTCTAAGAAATATCGCAGAATGACTTGAAATGGAAATGTTTTTCATAGTATTTCTAAAATGTACGAAATCCAGTGAGTTGCGTTTCTTTACGTTTGAGGAATGTTTCAGGGCACTTTGAAAGAAAATGTTCAGGATTTTTAGACATAGCATGTGTACAAATGTAGCAGAAAAACATGTTTGTTTGTTTCACGTTATAAAACAAAAATCATTGTATAATGTGCCGTGCTGGTTTACGTAAATGTTAAAAAATATATCAAAAATTGAGTTAAAATGGGTGTTTTCTCTAAATATTTGTATGAAATTCATTAAGATTATTTTCTTTACTTTTGAGGAATGTTTCTGGACAGTTTATTCAAAAATTTCAGAAGTAGCGACCATCATAAAAGGAAAAAGTTTTTTTTTAAAGCTAGTGTTTGTGTAGTGCAACTACAATAATCTAGTATGGTTCTTTAATGAGTGGCTTAGTGTAACAGACAAGAGCAATTTCTTTGTAAACTAGTGGGATGCTTTTTTTACGAAAACGTGTTTAAAAATCTGTTTGATATTTATGGTTTTTAGGAGTACAAGTAACAATGTTTGTAAACTAGTATTGGTGTAATGCTAACTATATTTTATGTGTTTTTTGGGGGGGCATTGTAATGTGTAAAATGTTTCATGTTGTTTCATGTAAATGCTAAGAAATATCGCAGAATGAGTTGAAATGCAAACATTTTTCATAGTATTTATAGTGTACGAAATCCAGTAAGGTTTCTTTCTTAACCTTTGAGGAATGTTTCAGGGCACTTTGTTAGATATTCAAGGTTTTTAGACATAGTAGCAGAAAAGCTTGTTAGTTTGTAGTTTTGACAATCTAAAACAAAAAACATTGTGTAAAATGTACCATGTTGGTTTATGTAAATTCTATATAAAAAAAAAAATATCGGAGACGGAGTTAAAATTGCTAAGTTTTTTTTCTTCTAAATATTTGTATGAAATTCATTAAGATTTATTTCTTTAATTTTCAGGAATGTTTCTGGGCAAAAGTTTTTAGAAGTAGCAACAACAAACAACCTAAATGGAAAGAGTGTTTGTTTGTAAACTAGTGTTTGTGTCGTGCAACAACAATAATCTAGTGAGTAAAGAGTAGCTTAGGGTAACAGAAAAGAGCAATTTCTTTGTAAAATAACATTCAGATATGAAAAAAAAACGGTTTGATATTTTATTTATAATTTTTAGTAGGCCTGGGCGATAAAACGGTATCGATATTTATCGACGGTACACCTTCTTCGATAACGATATAAAAAAATTTCGATATAGGCACGTGCTATGAGTGACGCAAACAGCACACACAAACACCAAGCTCAATGCGGAGAAGATCTTGACTAGGTGAAAACCGTAACCAAGCCATTCACACAGAACGCATATTCAGCGCATTTTTAGACGGACAAATATGTTTCCTATGAAATATCGCAAAATTGAGGGAAATCAAGTTTGAATTTGAAATGTTTATGTTACAAGGTACTTTGTTATAAAACGTTTAAGGTTTTCAGTAGTAATAAACGTAACCGCAAATGTTTGTTTGTAAACTTGTTTGCTCATCGCAAACTTGCTTTTGAAATGTGTAAACTGAACCTTGTTCATTTACATATTGTAAATAACGTTACATTTGAAATAGTTGGGCTTTTCACAATATTCCTAAAGTTTACGATAACTAAAGACTTTTGAAAAGAGTCGCATGTGTATGAACCAAAGATAACAGGAAAGAGTGATTGTTGGTAAACTATATTTAAAGGTCACTTTCTTCTACATTTTTGCTGTCAAATAAATTTTAATAAAGTTTATGAAGATTACCAATTGTAATTCTAATTGTTACGTAACGTCAAATGTGCCATGTTGGTTTATGTAAATGCCACAGCAGTAGTGATAAAAAATTTTTACAAATGCAAAAATTTGTATCAAATTTTACATTAGAAATTGCATTGTACATTGTTTCTTGTGGTTCTGGTTGATGGATCTGTTGTGAATCTAATGTGTTTCCAGGTCGCCGAGCAAGCCTCTGGTCAGAAGACTGATGAGTGGTTTGGACTGGGAGACCGTCAGCAGGAATTCCCTCTCGGACGACCGGCTGGAGACTCAGAGTCTGCCGAACCGTTCTCCACCAGACTCGCCCGATCAGTGAGTTAACACACGCTCACAAACTAACCCACATAACGCAAGTCCATCCAGTCTGTGGGTTAGCGCTCCAATTATGTTTTTCATTTCTTTCTTTGCTCAGCAGTAACTCCGTGTTCACCACAGACGGGGCGCGGGTCAGGCCTTCCTCCATTGGCCACCTAGTTGATCACGTGATCGATGACTCGCCATGCCAGACGTTCACCAATCACAAGTCTGCATCCTCCACACAGGCCAACAGCATCAGCCTGGACTCAACACCGTGAGTTTTGAACTTTCTGTCAGTATAAGTGAAACTGTGCTCATTATCACAAACTTTTATTCTATTCAATAACTGGAAAGAAACAATCACAATTCAGTATGCGAATATGGCAATGATAATAATTGCTAGATTTGTAGTATTTTTGAATACTGAACATTCTTACAGTAAAATTTTTTACTTTTAAACTATTTAGATAGTCAATTAATTTGTTGATTTATTTTTTTTAATGATTAATTTAATGATTAACCCTTTCGCACGTGAGTTTAAAATATTCTAGCTGAGCCCCCAGCGTGAGTTTTTTTTTAGGCGACCGTTATTTTAAAATGTATCGCCTTATTGTTTCCATGGCGACGCGTCATGCTTGTCATGTGACACAACGCAGCCACAATAGATCTGTATGACACATGGATCGCTTTTATTTCGTTTTTCCTGTTTTATTCAAAATATTCACAAACATGCTCACTATATTATGAAATATCTGATATTCCGATTCTGAAATATGTGCAATTAAATCTATTTGGTAGTTTAAACACTTTTATATCGACCGTGTTAGTTGATCTATACCGCGCTTAGCGTGTCCGATCTGACTCTGCGCCAGGCAAAGCGCGAAAGCGGATTTAAATTCAGCAGTTGATGACGTGACGCACTGAAAGTTCTAATCACACCGGTGTGATTGTACGCGTCAAAGGGTTAATTAAAGCTAATTTTATCTCCAGTAGTTCTTCTACAGTGTGTCTTGTAAATTGATGGTTGTAAAACAATTTTTGTTTTTGTAAAATTTACTAAAGTAAATTTACACTATACATTTCATCTAAAAAGGTTAAAAATATATATGTATATATTTATAGATTTTATTGCTTTTTATTTGTAACCCTAACATGTTGTTAATCATTTGTAAAAAAAACAAAACAAAAAAAGTTTGTGTAAACTATTGCATTTAGTTTAATTCATAAGTTTATAGTTTGCGTTTAAGCATGTTTTTCTTGTACAATGTGCAAAATTGAAGGTTGTAAATCAAAAAATGTAAATATACACTTTACATTTTGTGCAGAAAAGGTTTAAAATATAAATGTTACAATGTAAGTGTAAAAACAGTCAATGATTACATTAATTTTCAGTGGTTTAGTAGTTCCAGTCCTAACTTTTTGTTAATTATTTGTATTAAAAAAACAACAAAACAAAACAAACAAACAAAAAAATATATATATATATTTATTTTTTATTCAAATATAAATATATGTGTAAACGATTACATACAAAATCTAAATGTTACAATATAATTGTAAAAACGCTTACAGTTCATTTTCAGATTTCAAGTTACACAAACATTTTCAGTTGGCATAAACTATTGCATTCAATTTAATATGTAAATTTATAGTTTATGCATACAACTTTTTACACAAGACATGCATCTGTTTATCACAAACTTTCATCCTCTTCAGTGTTTCATACAGCTCCATTTTTAGACAATTTTTTTTATTATCAACCCGAGACGTTTAGTTTTTTGGCCTTAGTGGTTACCTTGGTGTTTGGCAGTGTGTTTCAGCCTATTGTGAAATTAAGCCACATGAATGTTCCCCCCAGTGCAGCTACAAAGCTAAATGTTATGATGCTAAATCATCCACATTGTAATTGTTTACCTGTGTGTTTCCTGTAAAAATTCTACTTGGTATAATAATCACTTATCTATCACCCCTTTAATCCTGTCATGTGCAGTTGGATAATTTTATTATTTGTATTCAGGATTCTAGATTCTGATCTACCCAGTGATGCGTTTTCAGCACACAAGGGCTGGACTGACACACTTTGAGTCATCAAAGTTTCCGCTGCGAAATGTTGTTCTTATTTTAGCACCACACAGTAGACGCACACTCTCTCTGGCAACCTGAGGTTTAATATCGTGTGACCACACACCTCTGACGAAATGACACGTTCGTGGTTCGACACTGTTTTCACACACATTTCAGTTTGAGAAACGGCGAGCGTTTGAACTAGGGGAAATTGCTTTCAGCTTTGTGGTGGGCACAGTTCAGTGTGTTACGGTGGCACGACTGATTGAATTTACGCCGATAAACCCAGCACCATTTTCCATTGGAATAATCTGCGACCACGCATTTCCTTTCTCAGATCATGTCATCTCATTTCGCAATGTCAGAATTTCCAGATCTAGGCTGTCCAGTTCACTTTCGATTCATCGCGTGCATCGATTGCTCTTTGATGTGGAGTTCTCATGTTCTACATAAAGATTAGAGTTTTAAAGAGTCTTGCTTCTTATCTCTTTTTTGACCTGATTATGAAAAGAAATGGCTGTGCTTGTAAGGTGAAATGTAGTGGTAGACGAATCACAGTTTAGTTCAAAATTCAGTAGATGTAAGCAGGAATAGCCTGAACAAAATTCAGTATGCAAATAATTGGAAGAAAGTAAGGTCCAACTAAAATTATTATGCAAATATGACAATGATATCATTGCTAGATTTTGTTTAGTTTTGTTAAGTGTACACTGTACATTTTGTGTGCAACGGATTTAAAATGTAAATGTTACAATGTAACATTTTCGTTGTAATTTTTATTGCTTTGTTTTTGTAGTCATTCACATTAACATAATTGCGCAAATTGTCACATTAAAATCACTTCATAAGTTTAGAGTTAATGCGTTAAAATTTTTCAGTTTGAACACCTAGTAAGTGAAGTCCTGTAGTTTAGTTAATCATAGGGGTGACTCGATACCACTTTTTCAGAACCGATACCGATCCGATACCAAAAATTCTGAGTATCTGCCGATACCGATATCGATCCGATACTAGCAGTTTTTTTAAATCAGTGTAGAATTTCTATACCTCAATGTGTAGGTCGATCATCACTCTTTTGTATGTTACACACAATCTACTAAATATAGACAGCTTCATTATAAAGAAAAAATAACAAACAAAAAAATATATAATCATCTATGACAAAAATACTGTTATAAACTAGGTTAATGGATAATTCTGTAGCAAAAGTTACTCTAGAAAAATCATGAGTGCACAATAATTGTATAAAAAACTAAACTTTTAGTGAAAAAAAAATACATTATTTAGTGGGTAACAAATAACCTTAGGACAACTTTGATTAACTTTGATCCACTTCAAATGTTGACTACTGTATAAATTAAACGACATTTCTTTTAAATGTATGGCAGAGTAATGAGGCAGCAACATATGATAGATAAGACGAACAAGAAAGGCTATTAATAATCTTTCATTGCGCAAAAGTATTATGATACTAAAGGCTCCAAATACAGAGCGGCACAAAGCGCTTATGCGCATCCCGTGCGCAGAATGATGCGCTTGAAGCAACACGGCGTCAAAGCGCGCAGCATAGAGAAGTTTAAAGCACAAAGTGAAGAGATATTGATGCGTAGTGTATTAAATATGTGCGTTAGTTTATTAAGCCTTTTCTTTTAATAGTTTTAAATTTCAGTTACTGTGCTCGTGACGAACAATTCATAGTGCTCTTTACTCCAGTATAGTGATCTAACCAGATATCCGGTAGAAATTTACACGATTTAGAAACGGCACGAAATGCCAGCAAGATAAATTCCTTTTTATGCAAAACCATTTATCTTTATTTACAGATCAAGTATAACATTTAGGAACATTTAATCATCTTGGAGAGAGTTTCATCGTCTTGACTGTCATAACCGAACGCGACGTGCAGTTTGAATGCTGAATGGAGGATGACAGACCGCCGCAGCGGGAAGAAGAGTTTACGTGAATTTGACTTTAATATTCATTTGTACCTCACATTAAACTATAGAACAACTTCAGAACACTTGAAATATAGTGCACGAAAACTTTATGCTGCTTTATAATGTTTTTGTGGCTTTCGTGGGGCTTAGTAATAACACAGAATAGTATACGCACTATATCGGATTTGGATCGGTCTCGTCTGACCGATACCCCGATCCAGCAGAAAATGCCAGTATCGGAGCAATACCGATATGAATATCAGATCGGCGCACCCCTAGTTAATCATTTGTAAAAATCGTTTGTTTACGCAAACTATCATATTCAAATGAATATGCAAGTTAATAATTTAGTGTAAGAATGTTTAAATGAATCAATAGTGACATTTATTTACAGTTTGCTTTATTATTTTTTTATGTATTTGCAATACCTAATTATTGGAGCCCTCCAGTTTAGTTAATCATTCGTATAAGCATGTTTGGGCAAACTGTCGATTTAAAATTAATTTGTAAGTTTATAGTTTATGTGTAAGAATGTTTCAGTTTATCAGTAGTGACACTTATTGCCAGTTTTCGTTATTTTTTATTTGATCACTGGAGTCCTGTAACAAGTTTGCACACACAAAAGTTTGTGTAATCGTTACATTTAATCTATAGTAAAATTTATTGTTGATTTTTCTGTTATTTTTTATTTATTTGATTCACCTAGTTGTTGCAGTCCTGTAGTTTAGTTAATCATTCATAAAAAAATGTTTGCACAAACTACCCCATTTAATTTAATGTGTAAGTTTATAGTAACAAATAAGACTTACAATTAATCCACAGTAAAATTTATTGGCAGTTTGCATTATTATTTTTATTTATTTGCAATACAATATAGTTATTGAAATCCTGTAGTTTGGTTAATTATTCGTAAAAACGCTTGCACAAACTGTCGCATTAATTCGTAAGTTTATAGTTTGTGTAAGAATGTTTCAGTTTATTATTAGTGACATTTATTGTCAATTTTCAGTATTATTATTCATTTATTTGATCACCTAGTTATTGCAGTCGTGTAGTTTAGTTAATCATTCGCAAAAACATGTTTGCGCAAACTATCACATTTAAATTAATGTGTAAATTTATAGTTTGTGTAAGATTTTACAGTTAAAATATAATAGTAAAATTTAATGCCAGTTTTTTATTTGATCACCTAATTAATTATTGCAGTCATGTGGTTTAGTTAATCATTCAAAAGAAAAAGTTTACGCAAACTATCGCAATTAATTTAATGTGTAAATTTGTAGTTTACGCATAATATTTTTACAATTTACAATAGTGAAATATATTGGCAGTTTTCATTATTATGATTTTTTTATGTTCACCTAATTTTTGCAGTCCTGTAGTTTATTTAATAATTCGTAAAAAATAATTATTTGCTTAGGTGTTATTAGGCTCATTGTTTGCAAAAAAAGTTGAAGATATAAATGCTACAGTATAAGACCCAGCTAATTGATTAATTACAGACTATTTTCATTGTTAGTTTTCATTAATTTAATCAATTAGTTGTCTAACTTTAAAAAAATATCTAAAAACAATGTTTGAGTAATGAGTATTCAGTAAGTCTAAATTTGTATGTTAAGCAGATCAGGCAAACTGTACACTAACCTTCATTCATTACAACTGGTTAATGCAAACAATTTTACGCTATTCAGTGTTTTCGACTCGGCACATTCAACTGTCACAACCCACAGTTAAACAACACAAAAGACGAATCGGATATCTTTCCCTTCAGCCTGACAGTCCAAACAATCCTGGTCTTCGTTCTAACGGCAAATTTTTTTAGCCTCGTTTGTTTTTATTATGTAAATGTCCTGGAGGCTGGAGCGCTGTCTGTAGACTGCAGAGCAGAGGGGCTTTCTTGCTTGAAATCTGAGCATTCATAATGAGACCGTGTGTGTGTGTGTGTGTGTGTGTGTGTCCGCAGAAATGGCTTCTCTCTGAGCAACAGTCCCAGGTCTTAATACTCTTCGCCTGCTATGCAAATACGCCGAGCTTTGATGAATTGTTGGAAATCTTCGCTAAATACCCAGCAGATATACAGCGCTGCTCATGCCTCCTGCTACTTACTTACAGAACATAAATCATCGTTGTTGCCTAGGCTACACCGTTTTATGAAAAGTCTGAAAATGGGGGAATCAGATCATCTTACACATGATCCTTGGATGGTTTACAGTTCAGTTTATCCCTGCTTACAGACAAGGTCTCCACGGTTATGGAAAAAAACTGGGATCAGGGAATTAAAAAAAAAATTATATATATATATATAGTTTAAAAATGTAAACAATTTTTAGGCTTGGAAAAAACTGTGAATCAAAGTTATCTAGTTACACTTGTCTCTAAAATATTAAATCTGCTAGAAATTGCTGTTTGTAAGGGCAAAAATCCTAGTCTAGAAATCATGCACAACTGGAAAAGTGAAAAGATGTGTGAGAGGTCAGAGTTTGTCATATCTATAATTTTGCCATAATAGAAATGCAAAAAGTATAAAAAATTAAATAAAATTAAGGAAATAAAATAAATTAATTTTTTATAATCGGAAGAATTTCTCTTATTTATCAGCCAGTATTGGATATTTAATTTTCGATGTTTGTTTCTTCATATATAGTGCTAAAAATTGTGAAACAAAACAAAAGTGTGAATATACAGTATGCATTTTACAGTGTAAGAGTAAAAAATTACTTGTTATTGACGTTAACTTTTATTTTTGATTTACTGTTCATTTCATTAGGGATTTTATTGCTTAGTTTTTGCTGCACTAGGATTTTTTTTGTATTCCTTCTTAAAAACTTGTTTGGAGAAGCAAACAAAATGTACAGTTTTGTTGAAGTTTACAGTTGAAATTTACATACAATTTAATGCTTAAGTTTATAGTTTAAGAAGTTTAAGTTTTATCACATAGTTATTAAATTTAATGGGTAGTACCAGATTGAACTCTTTAAGAGCATTTTCTTATAGTAGAGAACTCAGCTTATTAATTTTATTCAACTTTCATGTCAAATTGAGTAGTTATCAATAATTCATACTGTACATTAATAATATCGTAATACCTAACATCAATCTATTGATTTAAGTTTTTAGTATTTTATTTCAATTCGTTTAGCTTGAGAATATGTAAATGATACATATGCAAATACATTATACATTTTTAATTACATTTAAATTTTTAAATTTTTTCTTTTTACATTTGTAAACTGGATTTTTAATAGGCTATTCTTTCTTGCATCTAAATTTAAAAACAGATTGGACAGGTTTTAATGGGTGCATCCTTGAAAATGTGTATTATTAAAAGTATAAAAACTGCATAAGTATTTATCTGTAAGTTCCACAGTCTGTTTCTATATTACATGATCTTAATTGGAGGAGGTGTGATATTTGTTTCTCTAAAAACGCCATAGATGGCGCTAAACACTTACACAAATACTCCTTCATACGAATCATACATAGACTCTTACAGGAGTGTTTTCCAGACTTTATTTATTTATTAACATTTAATTTGTTTTTTATGTATTTATTTGATGTATGTGTTTATTTGACCGGCTCTGACCTCTAAGCTGCACCGCCCACAAATGCAATACGTGGTGTATTCATGAATTCGTTTTTGCATGAATGTTTTTCCAGGTCTCCTGATGTGACGACAGACGAGCAGCCGCCGGCTCTGCCCCCAAAACAGTCCAGAAGAGACCCTCTGACCCACAACGGCAGATCCCAGTCTCAGCACGAGCTGGACGAGCACCTCAGCGAACTATACAATGTACCTGCGGCGTCAGGAAAGAGCATGGTGAGGAAAACACTTTCTTACAAACATAAACGCTATATGTGTTTGTTCATCTCTCGTTCATCGTTTGATTCATTTGTGTCTTTTTCCTCAGAATGGAGCTGTGCCTCATGATAATCTTGTTCTGATTAAAATGAGGCCGGATGAAAACGGGCGATTTGGATTTAACGTTAAGGTGTGTTTTTGGTTACTCAACTACAGTTGAAATCGAATATCATAAATCATAAAAAAATTATCTTCATGTTGTTTCTGTATCTAGAATTGCTTAGATGTAGCAGATGACATAAAATGCGATTGTCTGCTGTTTAACGCTAACTTTTAATGATATTTGAAAATTGTTTGTAATTTTACAAATAAAATTTGTTAAATTACAAATTTTTAATTATAATCAAATATCAATATGTTTATAATTATATGTTTAACATAATATATAATAATTCAAATTGTACAAAAATAAATAATAACAATATTTCATATTGTTTATATAAAATTGTATATTTTAAAATGACAGAAACCTTACTGTATATTTATTAAATAAAAAATGTAAGTAATAAAAAATATAATACTTTCAGTTTTAGATTCTTTTATTAAATTATAGTTCAAATGTACATGATGATAATAACCACAATAATTATTATTGTTATATATTATTCAATTAATAATTTATATATTATTTAAAAAAAAACATAAATATATATAAATCTCTCTCTCTCTCTCTCTCTCTCTCTATATATATATATATATATATATATATAATTCTATAATTTTTTTATACAGTATATGTAAATTTTTTTATTATGTAATGTATACAGTACTAAGAAGAACCACAATAATAATTATTTTTGTTAAATAGTATTTATACTATATACTAATATGTATAAATAGTATTTTATACATTTATACTTTATACTATGTATAAAAATAGTATTTATATAATAATATATATCCGTGTGTGTGTATAATTTCTTTTCATTCTTTTTTTCCTACTAAAATTATTATTATTTTTAAGTATGGATTAATCAATGTTAATAAATCTCTTCTTCATCCACAGGGTGGCGCTGATCAGAGGATGCCCATCATAGTGTCCCGTGTGGCTCCACATTTTTCTAAATAAATATTTTGTTTTTATAAATTATATTTTCATATATTAACTAAATAAATCAACATTTGGTGATTTTGTTTAATACAAGTTTCATACAAATTTAATACAAGTTTCAAAATGTCATAATTAATATAAATTACAAATAAATTACATTGCTGGTCTTATGTGTCAGATTGATTGCTACATATATCTCAGAGATCAGATGATGAGTGTTTTTATGTCAGGTGACATGAGTCTCATTGAAGTCACGAGGCACTTCAGTAAACAGCAGCTTAGCCCGATGATTGATTCTTGATTTCATTCCCTCAGACGGGAATAATGAAGTCTGAAAGATTTGAAATTCAGGTTGTTATTTAAACAGACTGAATTAAATGTTGATTTTCGACTTTTGCTGTGATTTCTATGGCCCTCACCTATCATCTGTGACCTTTGACCTCCGCCCAGGCTGATATGTGTATGCCGCGCCTCAACGAGGGCGACCAGGTGGTGCTGATTAACGGTCGTGATATCTCAGAGCACATTCACGATGACGTGGTTATGCTAATTAAGGCCAGCTGTGAGGACCAATCAGGAGAGCTCATCCTGCTCGTCAGGCCCAATGGTACGATCCGTCCGGACGTGCCTCCAGATTTGAATTTTAGTAGTTTAAATTATATGTCAAATCTAAAATACACTTACTTTCTTTCCTTCCTTTTCCTTCAGCCATCTATGACGTGGATGAGGAGCAGGAGAAGTTGGATCTGGAGCCAGATTTCCAGTATATTCCGGAGACGTCCGGTCTGGAGCTGAGCCACTCAGAGGCCGATAGTTTGAGATACTCCATTCAGCTGCTGAGAGATGGGCTGTCCAGCGGTACTGTGGCTGCACAGTTTGATGTAAGTTAGACAACATATACTAATACATTATTTCAGATTGATTGCTACATATATTCTAAAAAAAGTTTATTTTAATATATTATTTTATATTTATTATAATTATATTTATTTAGTCACTGTAGATCCAATATTAAGATATCAATTTTTTTTAACAATGATGTTTTAAGAAATATTAGAAAAGTATACAGAAATAGCGCAAATTTTTCATATTTTCATTATATTGATTTTTATAAACTATGTTATATATTTATTATAATGTTATAATATATGTATAATATTATATCTATATGTATTTAGTCATTGTAGATTCCTTTTAATGATTTAATAAATAATATTTTAAGACATTAGGAAATTAACAGAAATTATGAAATATTTTCTAAAAAATCTTTTTATATATTATTTTATTAACTAAATAGTCAAAACAATTGATTTTGTTTAATACATTTAATAAGTTACAAAATGTCATAAATTTAATATAATAAATTACATTGCTGGTCTTATGTTTCAGATTCATTGCAACATGTATTGTAAATCAATTTATATAAATTGCCAATTGTGTGTTGTGTATATGTTTGTGTGTGTGTGTATCATATCATTTTGATTTTCATTTCTGATTGTGCTACTATCTACATCTAGAAATCTTACGTTGCACTGGGTTGTCGGCTGCATTACATTTTAGTTACATAATTTCCTGTTGCTCGTTTCAGGCTGTCTCAGTTACTTCCTGTTTGCTGAGCTTGCTGTTTTAATGTCGTGAACTTAAACATTTATTTTTTTTACAGCAACTGTACAGGAAACGTACTGGGATGTCCATGTCATGCGCCAGATTGCCACAAAACGTCTCCAAAAACCGCTATCGGGACATTTCACCATGTGAGTACACACAGCTTGTTTTTGTTTTGAACTCAGAAATGTTTTCATGATTAGCTGGATGCTCATACCGGTTTATTTTGTGACAGATGACACCACTCGAGTTGTGTTGAAGGGGACTGAAGATTATATCAATGCAAATTTCATTAATGTGAGCTTTCTTCGTTGATTATGGTTATTTAAAAGTTATTTTGTCAATGTTTTGTTCTTAGAAAATTGTCATCTGTATATATTTATGTGTTTTCAGATGGAAATCCCAGGTAAAGGTGAAGTAAAGCGGTATATCGCCTGTCAAGGGCCTCTTCCTGGGACCTGCTCTGACTTCTGGCAGATGGTGTGGGAACAGAGCGCCGCCCTAGTGGTCATGCTCACGACACAAGTTGAACGTGGCAGGGTATGAAGATATTTCTTAAATTTCAATAAATAGAAATGATTCAGAGACAAAGGTGGTAAAAAATTATATTTATTTATTAAGCTGTGTTATTTTGTGATTTTAAAATTTAACATGTTAATAATTCAGTAAATGACAAATTAACTACTTTGCTGGACTTGTGTGTCAGATTTATTGCTACATATTGTCACGGATGCTTACTGCGGTAGAGCGAGGAACGAAGAGACGAGGGAATAACAATAATAACAGTCTTTAATAATCCAAAGAAACCAGGAACAAGCACGTAGCAACGGGGAACTGATGTTTAAGACTATATATATATATATAGTGCTGTCAAGTCTATTAATTGCAATTAATCACATTCAAAAATGTTTCTGTTTACATAATATGTGTATGTATGTGTATATTTATATGTATATATAAATACAAATACACACACATAAATGAATATATATTTAAGAAATATTTACATGTGTATATATTCAGATTATGTATGATTTAAACTATGCAAATTTCTTAAATATATACATGTATGTGTATATTTAAATATACAGTAAATAAACACTATGTAAACTCATTTTACACATTTTATTTTGAATGTGATTAATCGCGATTGATATATATATATATATATATATATTATAATTAATAAA